GCCAGGTCCCGGCGCGCAGCAGGCGCGGCGCCGGCTCTCTTCGCCCGGAGCCCTCCTCGCTCGCGGGCCCGCGGAGGGGCGAGCGGGCGGACACGGAGCACCGTGGCACAGATGGACAAGTGGTGCTGGGACGGCCGGGGAACAGGAAGAACAAAGATAAAGCAGGCTTTCAGGTTTTAAGTGATGGGCGCCCTGCCCCGCCCTGGTGCCTCTCATTTGATCTCTCTGAATACGATTAACGGAAATGGTCACCAGGCTGGGCCTGGGGTCCCTGAGGCTGAAACAAGGAATTTAACTCATCCTTTTAATAAGTTTGCGAGTTTCCTGACTTCCACTGCAGAAAAGACTTTTCAGGACACAGCCACAAAAGAGGCAAAAGGGTTGTTAGAGGTAAAGCTAGGATGCGCTCAGGAGGGGGCACTAGTGCTCAGTGAAATGAGACACAGTACCAGCCAGGGAAGGGCACGTTTAAAGGCTGCCTTCAGGACAGGTGGTTCGGATGTACAAGCCATCTACACCCCGCCAGAGACCTCATTGGTAAAGAGGGGCGTTAATCTCAGTGTGAAGTTGCAATGTGAGATTTAGGTGCCCTGCTTAACAGAGACTGCGCAAGAATCAGAGTTTTGGGCAAATAAGGGGGAAGCGGGTTTGGGTTGTATTGTCCCATGACAATGGCAGCAAAAGAAGACAGTATCAGGCTTTTTTTTTTTTTTAATCTTTTTGAACTATGCAGTTCAAGCTGGCCTTGAGCTTACTTTGCAGCCCAGACTGGCCTCAAAGTCGTAGAGATCCTCCTGCCTCAGCCTCCCAAGTGCTGGGATTACAGGCATGTGCCACCATGCCCAGCTAAGTATCAGGCTATTGGTATTGGTCATTAGTAATCAGACTGAGAGTGGTTACCTTATTTTTAAAGGAAGCAAGAGATACTGGTGAAATACCCTATACAGATATTAAAGGCAAAGCTAGGAACGCCCTTTGGGTAGTAATTCACTGGGCTAGGACAACTGTGACAAGGCCAAGAGCAAAGATGGAGACCTCACAACCAGTAATGACAGTCCATGGGGTAGCTCAAGGCGTCCCATGAACAGTGTCCTCAAGCTTCAGCCGTGGGTGGACTGGTCAGCTTCCGGTGTGACCAGAGGAGGACAGTTGTCGGAAGAGCCTGGAGTCAGACTGGGTCCGGGCCGGAGTGGCCTGCGTTGACGTCAGTCCTGAGTGTGCTTTGGGGATCATGATGGGCGGTCCAAGTTGACGGGGTTCTTGGGAGTACACCCTCTTAAGCGTGGTGTGGTAGATTCAGATGGGCCGGAGGGGCTCCTTTTTTTCAGTCTTTTACCCAGACCGAATCCCCTGGTTGAAATGGGTGTATTGGACTGCCAGTGGGGACAGGGGCTTTGTTAAGCTGAGAGAAAACTTTTCCTAGTACTTGTAGCTCTTGGACAATATAGCGGTCTCCTAGCTGCTTGATGTCTCCCCAAATGTTTAACAACCAGCGGGGGCCTTCCAGGTGCACATCTAATTCTGAGTAAGGCTAGGGGCAGCTTCTCTATCCAGGTTGCTCCTGTTTTTTGACAGAACTTATCCAGGATGGATTTTAAGGTCGATTTATGCATTCTACTCTCCCTGAACTCTGTGCTAGGTAGGCTGCATGTAGATTCCGTTTAATCTTTAGGAGATCTGTGAGGCTTTGAACAGTTTGGGCCACAAAAGCAGGTCTGTTGTCATTCCCGATTGCTAGAGGATGTCAGCATCAGGGAGTTTCCTCAAGGAGGAGCTGGATAATTTCTTGAATCTTTTCTGTCTTGGTTGGTTTGGCCTCCACCCATCCTGCATAGGTGGAGACAATCACTAGTAGGTATTTGCATCTAAAATAGGGCTTTACTTCAGTAAACTCTATCTGCAGGTCCTCAAACGGTGAGGTGCCCGTGTGTGGAGTTCTGTAGAGGACTGTTGCAGGCACAGGCTTGGCGCACTGGACAGAGGAAAGACTGACAGAAGTCTTGAGAAGTAGAAATATCTTCCCAAGAGGGTTTCTAAAGCAGTTTCTCCAAGGCGAGGGTGCTGACAGCCCTCTTACACAATGGAGTAAGCAATCCGCTGGCATAGAAAGGTTTGATGGTCTCTGAACATCCACCATCGTCCCTCGTCCCTGGAAGCGCCTTCTTCTTGAGCCCAGAAATTTTCTTCTGGAGAAGAGACCCAGGAGTTATCGTCGGCAGTGTCTTTCTGCTCCAGTGACACTGGTAGGAGTTAGGAGCCAGTAATCTCTTGCAAAGGAGCGATCAAAGATGTCAGCCTTGCGCTCACAGGGGGTGGCTTCTTCAAGGGTCCGAGCGGGGATCCTTTGGGGCTCAGGGTGGGGAAAGCCTTGGAGACCTCTGGTTTAGTCTGCTTGGTGGCCTCTTTGGCAGTGTGACCCCCAGTTGATTTCCACTGGTAATGCGATCTGATCCCTTCGGGTGTCTCCAACAGCATATGACGGGCACCTCTTTGGGTTCCCAGATGGCTTCCAAGAGCTGAAGTGTTTCCTTTTTATTTTTAACCTCCTTTCCTCCTGCTGCTGGGAGTCCCCTTTCTTTGTATGTTGCCCCATGAATGTCAACTGTGGCAAAAGCACACTCTGAATCAGTGTAAATATCGACAGTCTTGAGCGCACCAGAGGGCTCGGATGAGGGCCCAGAGTTCTGTCCTTTCTGCTGACCAGTCCTGAGGAAGGGGTCCTGCTTCAGTGACGGTCTGTGGTGGTGACAGCTATCCTGCGAGGTGTTCCCCAGCGTGGATGAAGCTGCTGCCATCTGTGAACAAGGTAGCACCAGTCTGGGGAATGGGCTCGTTGGTGCGATCAGGCCTGCCGAAGAACAGTTCGTTGGTGACTTCTTCACAGTCGTGGTCTGGGGGCCCCTTCCGCAGGCAGGAACGTGGCTGGGTTTAGTGTTCAGACGGGCTCGAGGGTGTGCACAGAGCAGGCCTTCAGAGTGAACTGTTCTGGCGTTTGAGAGCCATGTGTGTCCTTGACTGTTCATCAGAGTCCTGACTGAATGGGAAGCTTTTCCTTGAAGGTTTCGTCCCAAGGTTAGATTATCCGCCTCTTTCATGAGTTAGTTTGTCCGCCTCTTTAATGAGAATGATGGTAGCTGCCACAGTGTCCAGTTGTTCAGACAGAGAGGCCACTGGCCTCTGCCAGAGCCCCCACAGTCTGAGTCAGGACTCCCAAGGCCACGTGGTCCTTTTCGTGAACAAAGAGATTAAATTCTTGGCTTACGTCTGGTAGCGCCAGTGCAGGAGTGCTGGCAAGTAGCCATCTAATCTCTTTCAAGGCTGATTCCTATTGGGCTTCGCATTTTAGGGGCTGATTTTCTGCCATCATGAGGGTAACACAGAGGGGCTTAGCCTTTTCTGCAAACGCCGGAATCCAGATCCTGCAGAACCCAGCCACTCCCAGGAACTCGTGAACTTTCATTATTTGGCCTCAGGAAAGAGCACATGACCTGCTTTCTCTCTGTCCCCAGGAAGTAATGTCCCTTTGTACCACATAGCAAATGGAGGGCCTGCGTATCTGTGTCTTTTTCCAGGATACAGCTGTAGCCTGTGTCCATGAGCAGCTGGGACATATGTCACAACGAGATATAAGCCCTTTTTGCTAGAACATTGAGTCTGAAGGGTGTTGTTATCAGATAACCCCTTGTGGGGTTGAGGCAGGATATTAGGGGATGGCAGGCTGCCTGGACAACAGGATGTAACCTGTCAATTACAAAGAACCAGAATGGAAGCTGGGCAACTGGGTATGACCTGTCAGTCCCAGGAAACTGTCACATCACAGCCAGGATACGTGAGCACAGCAACTGCTGATGGGGTGGATCTGAGAAGATGGAAGACAGACAGCAGTCACTGATTAGGGAGCCACTGCTGTCTTCCTGTTTGTGCAGTAGCCCATCGTGCATATGGGACGTATCTTCACGTTCCTCTTTTTGCCCTTTTTTCTTCTTCCTTCTCCTCCTTCTTTACGTTTTCGTTTTTCTTCTTTTACTTTAATGTTTTCATGTTTGTCAGCTGTCCAAGCCAATTCTTTCCATGGGTTAGCAAGAGCCTGGAACCACTGGACAACAGGGGTACAAACAAGGTCACCTACACGCAGTAACAGTCCCCCCTTCCAAACTTTAAGTCCCTTAGGGCTTGAGCTAAGGCCCATGCAATCAGGTAGGGGTTATCTCTAAATCCTTGAAGCAAGACAGCCTAAGTAGACTGTTGTTGGGGCCCTATGTGGGAATCTTCTCATTCAAAGGCAAACAACTATTGAGAGCTAGGATTCAAAGGGATAGAAAAGAAGGCACCTCTGAGATCAAGGACAGAAAACCAGCTAGTGTCTCTAGGGATCTGTGCTACAAGAGAGTATAAGTCTGCTACTGATGGGTGAATAGGTACACCATTGCATCACCAATGGCTCTGACATATGGTACTAGGCCATCTTTGCCCGATGACTTAAGCATTAGTGAAATGGGTGAAATGCACAGGGACTGGCATGGACCAGCAAATGTGTACCCAAAATTTGTCAATAATGGGTTTTAGCTCCTGCCTAGCTTCTCTTGTAAGGCAATTCTGTCTTCTATGAAGATAAAGATTAGAGTCTTCCCGGGGATGATCACTGGAGTGGCCTCGACAGCCCTCCTTGGGATGCCATCATATGCTTAAGGATCAACTCCTAGCAGAAAACTTGGGCCCAGTGGGGTCAGATTGGCTGGGTCTCCAGCATCTAGGACACAGGTTACCAGAGGTTTGAATGGTAGAGGAGCACTGAGTAGGAAAAGTATATCTCTTCCGGTTACTCAGATGGGGCACTCTGCTAGTACTATAAAGGCAGCTTGGAAAAGGAAGTCTCCTAACTGGCAGTTCAGAGTGGGGGTAAAGAAAGCTGACCTGCTGGGCGTGGTGGCACACGCCTGTGAACCCAGCACTTAGGAGGCTGAGGCAGGAGGATCGTT